TGCTGTCTAAGGTAAATTAGCAAAAACTTTACAAAAATTTATATTTTATAATTACAGGACAGTCTGCAAAATTAACTAACTTTTTCTATAATTTGCACATTTTTCATTGGTTTCACTGGTCTGACCCATTTAAGGTCAAAGTGGGCTATATGTGGTCTACAAGGTAAAATGAGTTTGACATCCCTGCTTTAAGCCAATACAAACACACAAAGAACCAGCCGATTCTCATGGAAGTTCACATTAAGCATAATGCAAATGGACATCAGTGACTGAGGTGCAACAGGACTGGCACGTTCACAGAGAGACGAGGAGGAATATGGCGACATTTAGCTCATGCTTCTCAGGCCTTCAAGCACTTTCCAACAGCTTCAGGTGGAGGGACACCCACAGTGTTCACGTAACAAAATCTAAACATGTTCACAACTGCATAGTTTCAGCTGAGCGACAGCTACTTGCTGTAAATCACAAACTTCTAGGAAGTGATTCTCTACTTTGCCACCAGGAGGTGCAATGAGGCAATCTAAAGAAATGCAATTTATCATCCCTACAAGCAGATGCAAAGATAATTAAGGATATTACAGCAGTACACAGAACTATGTATGCAACTGATCATCACCAAAGTGAATTAAAATTAATAAAAGAGCAACTCATGATCAAATAAAACAGCTAAAAATAAAGATGCATAACAGACGATAACATCTCTCTCTCTCATATATATGTATTTTTTTTCCACAGCACTATCTTCGTGTTCATGTCAGTGGTTTTCTCACATATCTACAAGATAAAAACTCTGCCCCTTCACTGATAATGAAACCAAAAAGGAAGACTTTAAGTTCAACCACTCTTAAAACAGAGAAGGAAGCAAGCAAGGCTGGATGAATTGCAGACGTCAAACACTATATAAGTATCAGTCAGGAAGCCTTAGAAGTGACTCATACTGGTTCACTGCTCACTGTCTGCTTCCCTTGCAGTACCCTGAGCATAATGCGTGTGAGAGTGTGAATAATGGGTGGGGGGGAAAAA